CCACTATCAGTGCCACGAGTGAATGTCTGGAGCGGATGGGATGTTGAATTGAGAAACAGGACGAAGAGAACGGAACGCGGGCAACGATACATCATGCGTCCAGACGTGTCAAATCGTTTATTATACAGGAGACTTTGATACGGCAACATGTACTCGAAGATTTAATATTTAATACGTACTTTTATTTTTCCTGTTCCTCCCCCCTCCCTCCCCCGCTCTTTTTAAACCTTCGGGCATAGTCTGACATAGAGATGGCAACTATGGTTGCAGCACGGACATAAACCGCCTGCAAGTGGATGTAGCACGGACCACATGCAGATTTTACCACCGAGACCTGAAAGTGAGGATGTAGCATCGTAGTTATCCTCTCAAAATGGATGCAGATGACGTCCTTTCCCAATGCGGAAAGTCGATGTCGCAGAAAATTCCGTGTTGGCGGCTTTCAAGTTTTTCTCTGCGGACAGCGAGAAATTCCCCTAGGCGCGCTTCACGGCTCGTCCTTGGACTCGCGACGGGTCTCCTTCGTCCGGGTCATGCACGGAACGTCAACCGCGAAACGATCGCCGCGGAGGTTCACCGTGGAGAAGTATATTCCGCTATTTTTTCCTGCTGTCTTGGTCTTTTGAAATTCGCGCGCGGAAAGCGGCGTGCGACGCTGCGGCAAGTCCCGCCCGTACGCTATCGCCATCTCGGCAGTTCTCGCTGTAAACGGACGCTGGAACGGGCGCAGAAGGTAACGGAAGAGACGCGGGAAATGTTTCTCTTACGAAACTGCTGTTTACCCGTAGGTTCTTCGGTCAGTTCTCCGGTCAGTTCAGCGGCGGGATTCTGTAACTTCTTATCGACAATTTCACTAGCATGATGTGTCGTTATGCATCTTTTCTGTCATATAATAGGGAGTTTTTGCAATGCCGTCTCTCAGATATACGGTAAACGTTGATCGTGAATGCTATTGGTCGCATATATTGCGACGTTATTTCTGAACAAATAACGTTCACGATTTACGTTTACCGTATCTGAGAGACGGTATTGCAAAAACTTCCTATTAAGTAAACGTACCGAATTACGTCACTGACCTAAATTGCGCCACCTTAGCTTGTTCTATGCATGTAATAAAACATAGCTGAATAAAAGTGTCTAAGAATTGCAGGGAAAGAAGTCGTGATAGTGTGTCAAATGGCTCCGCTAAAGTAAGCGTACAATACTATTAAAATATAATAAAAGACGATAAAAAGGTATAATATTATAAAGTTATATGGTTTTTATATAATATAATATAGAGTGGCGTCATTTGGTACATAATCGGTGACATAAATTGGGACCTACAATTTCAATGGGCCTACAATTCGGGACATTTGCAGTTCACACTTAATTCTTTTATATAAATAAATAATTTTGTTTATTTCTAATTTGTATATGTGTTTTCGTTAATTTACAAAATAATAACTTTTAATAAGATTCATACATAAGGTCTTACTTAACACCACTTTACTTTTTTAAAAATAAACTCTCAAAAATTAGTCTTTGCTTAACACGCTCATTGCCAAACTGAAAATTGGAATTTTGTGTGGTGGCCAAAGTTATTTTTTCTTTTATTTATTTTTAGTCTTTTTTTGCACGATTGAACTGGCATTGAACTGAGTCTTTTCGAGGGTCCTGGTTTGTCACTCATAATAAAAAACAATCGCGTGAACGGCCGTTTGGTGAGAAGCCGCAACACGCGATATCGCGTGAGCGGCAATGAACGTGTTAAAGTGGTGTAATTTGACACGTATACCTTATATTTGCGCAACGACAATATCACTAGCATGATGTGTCGTTGAGTATTTTTCTGCCATATATTATACTTGCGCAACGACAGTGTCGTTATTATTAAAAAGTTACAGAATAGGCCTACAGCGGCAGATTTCTTCGCGGCGGAAGTATCAAGAGACTCGACGCCGATCTTCAACATTGAATTTCGCGTGAATTAGACTGCTATTTCAAGCGTCCTTGGACAAGGTAACATTGGATCTGTTTTTTTTTCGAAAAACTTTTGAACTAGTGCGCATTAGTGCAATAATTGTTTCGCTCCAACTCATTGTATTAGTTCAGAAATCCTTCGAAAAAGAACAGGCTTATCTTGTTGATATTGCTGAGGAACGAATCGCCATGTCACTCTTTAACACGACATGGGACAAGTGTAACGATAAATTTACATGTATGTGTATATTGACACAACGACATTGTCACTGTGAAATGTTTGGCGTGTCGCGATACGATATTGTCGATATGCGTTGGCACGAAATCATGAAAGAGAGAGACACAAAAATGTCAGGACATGCAGGACACTTTCCTTAAAATACCGCAAAGTGTCGAACAATAAAATACGCACGTGGGTCGATATCTTATTTATATATACATCTATCATCTTGTAATTGTACACAATTATATAAAGTTAGATAATTGTTGAAGGATAATTTCTTTCTGCTATCTCACTCTTTCTCTCTCTCTCTCTGTCTCTCTCTTTTCCTCTTCCTTCCTTATCTATAAATCTATAAATCTATATCCTTATATATAAATTTTCCGTGTACGTAATATGAGTAAATAAATCGAGAGCACTTATAGAGATTATAGAGGGTGTTCCATTTAAAATGAGCCAGGCAAAAATATCGAAAAATATTAAAAATACTAAGAAACATTTCATACAAAAGTTGTATAGTTTCAAAGGGGACATGAAAACAATTATATCAGATCATTTTTTGTTTTTATTGACTAATTCGTTGATATGGATAATTTTTTTCTTCGATATCTTTTTTCTACTCTTTTTTCTTTTTCTTTGTTTTCTTTTTTTTTCTTATCCTTCCTTATCTATATTTAAATCTATTTATCCTATATAAATCGTTAGTAATATAAATAAATCGAGAGCACTTATAGAGATTATAGAGGGTGTTCCATTTAAAATGAGCCAGGCAAAAATATCGAAAAATATTAAAAATACTAAGAAACATTTCATACAAAAGTTGTATAGTTTCAAAGGGGACATGAACAACTATATCATTTTGTTTACAGATGGCGCCACTTTTCTTCGATGAAAATCCCAATTTTTTATTATATCTTTTTCTACCAATTGATTTAAACAACTTTTGTCTGAAAGATTTCTTTATTTGACTAATATCGTCTGAGATATTTGAGGAAAACTTGGTAATTTTTTCAACATGTAACTTACGATATCCCGTTAACTATTCGTCGAAAGAAAAAATAGTACTAGACTTTTTTATTCTATTTAGTCTCAAGAATATATTGTTACTATAGTACTTTAACTTTTGTTAACTTATCGACTTTTGGAAATTTCAAAATCATCAAATTAACAAAAGTAAGGACGTTATTGTAACAATATATTTTTGAGACCAAATAGAGTAAAAATGTCTAGTACCACTTTCTCTTCCGACAAACAGTTAGCGAGATATCGTAAGTTAAATATTGAAAAAGTTATCAGACTGTAAACTGTAAGTATATCAAACTGTAAACAAAACGATATATAGTTGTTCCATGTCCCTTTTGAAACTATATACAGCTTTTATCTGAAATGTTTCTTAGTATTTTTCATATTTTTAAAGATTTTTGCCAGGTCATTTAAAATGGGGCATCCTGTATAACCGTAAGTGCTCTTGATTTATTTACTCATATTACGTACGTTTTCCTTAAATATCTAAAAAAATATTAGGCAAATAAAAAAATGTTTCAGACAAAAAAGTTATTAAAATTAATTGGTAGGAAAAGTTTCCATTTAAGAAAAGTAATGATCAGTAAATATCACGAAAGTGGCGCCATCTGTAAAATGATATAATTTTGTTTTATATCCCCCTTGAAACCATACAACTTTTATCTGAGACGTTTCTCAGTATCTTTCACATTTTTCGAGATTTTTGCCTGATTCATTTAAAATGAGATATCCTGTATGTAGATATCCTGTAGAATCATACTGTAGGAAACAGCCGGGCATCTTTATCGATGTCGCGATATTCGTCATGCAGCGACACGTGCAGAACGAAGAATCTGTCATTTCGACGAGATTTTTTGCAGAGGTGCTTGAAAAAATTCCAAATACAACTTACGATTCCCTTCGCTCCCGAGCGCCTCGCTCGCTCGCGCCAAAATGGCCGCGTCTGTGTCTCGCGCGGATGCGACGAACTGAAGGGAGCTCAAGGTGAACTTCTCGTCGAAGGGTTGCGAGACCAGAAACGAGACTCTGATTGGTCGAGACGCATCCTTCGATGTATCAAATGAGAGTACCTCGTGCGTTACGCTCTGCGCGCCCTTTCGTTGACTTATAACCTACAAGCTTTTAATCCGTTTCTTCTTAAAAAAGAGAACGCTTCCGATGCAATGTCAAGTTTACGCGTCGATGACAGCCGCCTGATGATGTTCATGTGTTACAATGCTGTTCTCGCCAGCTGTAACGAACACGATCGAATTCGGCACGCGTGATGGTGAGTACCGAATAACGTTCCCTCTCGCGGTGATTGCTTTCATGGCACGAGGAAAGTCAGCCGCGATTATCCTGCAACAATGCGACAACTCAAGCGAATGCAACGCGTGTGTCGTCGTGCGAGACCGCGAGTCAACGAAAATAACCGAATGCACGTCGATTACCCAAGGACAATGCAATTACTCATCGGCATGGTATCGCGAAATCACACGCGAGAAGATTTCAGGCGTGCTCGGCAAAACTCGCGCTGCGCGAAAAGCGATGACGAATGAAGAAGGAAGGCTTCTGTCAATCGCGTGCTGTTGATTTCCGAGAGACCGGCGCGCCCGGTGAATCGTTCGCCTCGTTGAGTCGCTCGCTCAAAAGTGCCATTCCAAATCTCGGCCGCGCGTAATTGCCATTGACGTTGCTTGAGTGAACGCCGACTTCGTGTCGCATTGGAAGGGGATACGTCACGAAGGCGCGCGCCGTGCAGCAGCACGCAGTGCGCCTTCGTGCATCAGCTGATAGTCGTAAGGACGATGCGCGAACGCGGATTGCATTTTGCCGCAAAAGCGACGACGCACACGCGAACTGGCTGAAAATTGCGGAGCGTTATATAAAGTGAGCGAATCCGAGCTGTGGCGAAGCAAAAATTGAGTGAGCGCGCGCGCGTTTGCAGTGTGCAATGAACGGCGGTTAATAATACGGTGCGTTCGCAAGAGAGAGGGAGGCGGGAGAGAAGGAGAAAGAGAGGAGAGGGGCAGAGAGAGAGAGAGAGAGAGAGAGTGAGTGAGTGAGTGAGTGAGTGAGTCAGAGAGAGAGAGAGACGCGGCGTGATGTTGGTTTCAGCCTTCAGGTAAAACGCGATCACTGTCAGTCGCCGTCGGTCGCTATCGGAGGGAAGAGGGTTCGTGTACTCGCCGATAGAACATCCCGTGCGATTCGAGGTGATCTGTCTGAAGGACGACGAATCAGCCGGGGTTTATGACCAAACTGTCATTCGCGAAAGTGCTGAGGATCAGGGCACAGTGCGTAGAGATAGACGGACGGATGGTCTTCCCTTGAGATCGTACAGCGCACATTGTGCGTACACTCATTCGTTCGTCACGCGCGCGTGACACCGTCGTGAGGCTGACGGCTTGGCGAGATAGTAGCGAGGGTTGCCAGACGTGCAGCGTGGTGATTCAGTGTCCGGTGTGTCTCCGTTGATCTGTGCGCTCGCGGCGACGAGAGGAGACTGTCAATCGTCCACTGAACTCGGTCGTCCGAGCGTAGTCGGTTGGTTTGTACACACCGACTATTCTCGCAAGTTTCTTCGCAAGACGGCGGGATGTCCAACGGTCGGAGCGAGGTCGATCCTTTCAGCGAGACACTCATGGAGCTTGAATCTTGCGGAGGTACGAGATGAGAGATACACATTTGTGTTTAGCCTGCGTAAATTTACGGAATCGTTATCGCGCGTCGACAAAGAGCCGACAAAGGGTCGCCAGCGGCGTCGCGTCGTTCAATGCGGTATCGTTGGCTGCATCAGCTTGTCGTTGGTCCTGATTTTCTGTAAGCACAAGTGTTTCTAGTAGAATACTTCAACTAGGAAATCCTTGAGACGTGGCATATGATATTGGTTCTATTAATCGGTTGAGTGTATATGTGTATGTATATATGTATGTATGTGTGTGTGTGTGTGTATGTGTGTGTGTGTGTGTGTGTGTGTATGTGTGTGGTGCGTGTCGTATGTACGTGAGAGTGAGTTTCTCCTCATGATTAGATTCTATAGATTCTAGTCTAATCTCTGTCTCTGTGCTGCTTTGATAAATTGAAATGATGATTTTTCGCTGTGTAAGTCTGATTACAAAAGTCTGATTAAAAATTCTGCCCACATGTGTATTATATTTAATTTTACTTATATTTTCTCACACAGTGTGAAACATTTCTCTTTCAAAAACTTTAATGTTTTTATCTAAATCTCTGAAATCTCTTTTTTATTATTGATATCTTTTCTATATATTCAAGGTACAAAGATCAATGCGCATGACCAATATCACAAAACACTTGTTAGTCATTGCTTTTGTCATTGCAATTGTTATAACTTACCGTAATTATTGTCATTTGTTATGATTAGTAATATAATGCAATGATCTTTTTTTGTTTCACAAAGGCAATGATCAAGCAGTCATAGATGAAAGTCCAAAGAACGATTTGGAGACTAGTGCCGTGGGTGAAGCTATTTATGCAGAACCTTTGACCCCAGAAGAAATACGATGGTTTTACAAGAATGGCGTTGAGAAAAGATGGGTGGACTTTTGTGGATACGACAGTTTGAGGATCGAAAAGATTTATCAGGATCGTCAGGAATTACTTAACAAAAGTAACACTGAAATGAACAACTTGCCTCCTGCTGAAAAAATTGTAGTTAGAGATTATTTGTCCTTGAGTTTATTATAGCCAATTCTTATTGGTTGTGCCTGTTACAAGCCGCAGCATGTGAAACAAATATGATGCGGACAGTAGATAGCACACTGTAACAAAGAATCCATTAAAAGTGCTTAACAAAGTATTTATGACTTGTATTTTACAACTTGTTTAATATTACAATTTTAGTGTTGCATAATCTAGTGATACAAACAACTTTTATATGACATTTCTGACAAGTCTTTTATTGTTTCTTCAATTCAATTTTTTCAATGTACAGTTTATGTTACAGTTTTAGTGTTATATAATCTAGTGGCACTAGGAAAAGAGGAAAAAAAGCAGCTTTTGTATAACATCTTATTTTATATGGCCTTATTTTATATCACCTCTGATACCTTATTTTGTATTTTTTTTCAATACAGGATGTATGTCTTAGAATTTTTTACTATTTATGAGTGTCTAGAATTCCAAATCCTGACCTTTTTAATTAAGTTGCCTGTTGTATCCACTTATTGACTTGATTAATTCACACGAACTGTACTAATGTGTATATTCAACTCTTTGGCTCAAGGTGAAGAATGGGAAATTATGAGAGGTACATGGTACTACGATGGCAGCTGGATACCACTAGAAACAGAACATTCTAAAGTAATAGAGGAAGTCCATCTTAATCTATTCCAAAAAGAAAGCAACAATCAAAGTAGTTCCAAGTGTGATACAAATAATCAGTCCTACAAAGGTATACTTTTTACCTTGTTCTGTTCTTGAAGCTGTGTAATATATTTTAATAAGTTCTCAAGAGTTTCTGTTTTTTTTTTTTTTTTTTTCCAGTATTACATACCGAACAATTCTCCGAGTTTCACGTCGATTGGCATACAATTAACGATGTGACATTATATAGCGAATATACACCTACTAAACTGATGCGCAGTGTCACATCAAAGCTAGGTTTTACTAAAAGTGAGTGAAAATTTAAATCATACGACATTATCATCAGAATCACTTGATCTACTATTATAGATTTAAACATTCTCCTTTTTATCATATCGCTAGTCATGTTACATCTTTGCACACAATATGACATTTGAAATACAAATTTTCAATACGTTTGTTCACTATTTCCTTTCAGCGACTGGTTATCGATTAAAAAGAGGCTATAAAACACGCGCTAATATAGAAAGTAAGCCTCGTGATATTGATCATTTAGTATTTGTCGTTCACGGAATAGGACAAAAACGAGACACGGGAAAAATTATACGTAACACTACATGGTAAAAAGATGACACAAGCACCTTTGCATCCTGCATAATTTTCTCTTTTAACACGGATGAAACGATAGTTTCAGAGACTGCGTGGATTGGCTCAAGCAGAAGTATTTTCCCAATTCAAAGCACAGAGTGGAATTTTTTGCGGTTGAGTGGCGGTCGTCATTGAAGTTGGACGGAGGTAAGGCAGAGATATATTGCAGGGAGGAAACAATGCTGATTTAATTTATTGAATGTGCAACTCTCTTTTTCCCAGATATAGTAGACGCGATCACGCCCTATAGTGTATTGAGTATACGTCACTTGCTAAACGCATCAGCGATGGATATTCTGTACTACACGAGTCCTTTGTATGGCGCTGAGGTCAGAGCGGGCTTGCAAAAAGAACTGAATAGATTATATTTTATGTTCGCGAGTCGACATCCCGGCTGGCAAGGAAAAGTGTCGATCTTGGCGCACTCGCTGGGATGTGTGATTGTATATGACATAGTTACTGGCTGGGTGGGACCTGACACACAGCTCCCGTCCCCGACACAAGAAGTTTTACTGCAAGGATTACAATTTCCCGTGAGTTATTGCGCAATCTCCGTGAATACAAATCACGTAACATTTCTGCTGAATTCCGATGAAATTCTGTTTGGACTGGTAAACTCTCTCTTTCTCTCTCGAAATATATTCAGTAATTTCATTATTGAATTAATTTTAATTACTCTGTAGGAATTATATGTTCTATAAATAGGAAGAGTGAAAATTTCATCTTGTTCGCAGATTGAGAATTTGTTTTGTCTGGGCTCGCCGCTGTCCGTGTTTCTGGCATTGCGCACTCGTACCCCATCAAATAGGCTAGACGTGATGCCGCAGAGTTTGTGCAAGAGATTTTACAACATATTTCACTGGTCCGATCCGGTGGCTTATCGGATGGAACCGCTTTTAGAAAGAGGCTACAGTAAAATTGAGCCAGTTCTCATACCTCCGTACGGAGGTGTCGACGGGCAGCAGATGGAGCAGTCGCCTTCGTCATTAAATAACGGAGATCCGGTTCTACCGCCTACAGGTTACTTACGATATATAAAAAAACTCACTACTTATGATATATATAAAAAAAAAATACGCTATCAACTTGCGTTGCAGCGTATGGCAGTAATTATACGGTCAAGGATGGTAGTTATAATAATTACTGTGTTTATAGACAAAAACATGATTGAAGAGGACAATTATCGAACGATTAGTTTAAACGAATAATTATAGTATGAACAAACGCTCTTTTCTAAAGAGTCGATTGAATTCCTAAAATAAAAAAGAAATACAATCTTTAACTGAGAATATTCCACATATTATAAAAGAGTATAAATTGTATATTGGTAGAAACTGATGATAAGGACGACAGTCCAGTGGATACGCCCAATCGGAGCGCGGAGAAGGGTTGGAGTCTTTGGGACTTGGTTCGAGGCGGTTGGAATGCCAGAGAGGGTCCGTCTTCGCCGACACCAGATTCGAACCCACCAATCCGTCCAGGGCAAGGTGATTTACACGATAGCAACGCATTTTTTTTTTTTCATTCAAGAGACGCAAAGGTCTTTTGAATTATGGATTATTGACAGTTTTCTTTCATTTTATTCCCTGTTTCAGAGTTAGCGCAGCGACTTGACTATGTGCTGCGCGCTGTTGGGTTAGGAAGGAATTATTTGTACACAGTAACAGCTCACACGGCATACTGGAATAATTACGACGTAGCCTATTTCGTATTAACAAGACTTTTCCCGACGTTAGAAACGTGATGGCGGTTTAAACATTTTGATCCGGACTGCCGGTGGATTCTGATAAAATGTTCTAGTCCATTGTAGGCTTGCCGCGGACGTGATATGTAGCAAATGGGCCTACCACCAAAACAATCTGTGATAACGGTAAAACGATACAATAATGTTGCAAATTCTACGGAAACCGATCATTTTATATCGCTCGCATAATTTAGTATCGCTTCGATCGAGTTACACGAGACGAAGGAACTTTGTCTTTTGTCTCGTATTTTGGAAAATAACTTGTTTGTACTGAACAATTCAGGTAATCGACAATTTGTACGTAGCATAATAATAGATTGTGTATCATAGGAACATGTACGAAAGAAATAAGTTTCGCGCCTTGTGTTAACTTCCTGATAAATATAGTTTATGCGAAAGATTTAAGTACGGCACTCTTTATAATCGCTATACTTGTTATCGACACAATCTGGTTGTTTTCAGATAGTTTATCGGCGACTAATGTATTCCCGTTGATTGCCTTTGTTGTACATTGTCATGTGTAAATAAGCAGCATATTTTAAGATCAATATCTAATATCAAATATATTATTAATCTTGAGGTAACGCGCGCTAAGATGATGCTTACAAATTTTTCTTGTGTGTGTGTATATATATATATATGTATATATATATATATACATGTATATTCAAGTCGTTACTCTCAAGTTATGAATACTTTTTGAAGTATTCGTCAGTAATACAGAAACATAAAACACCAGTCTCTAAAACTTAGGATTTGTAAATAATATATGACTTATTATAAGACACAGTACGTGCTACTTACAAAGCATAACATGATTTTATAACTGATTTTATATTTCTAATTTGATAATGAATTCCTATTACAATACAATAATTGTTTCATACTACTTTAATTTGTTTAAGTATAGAGCATTTTTATTAATTCAAATGATTGGAATTGAAAATCTTTGGACATGTTAATACTGGTTTTTCTCCTTTTCTGTAAAAAGATTTTACAGAAATAAAGTTTGTTAATCCGATCAGGTATGTTGGAAGTGATTGACATCGTATAAATGTTGTACAAGGATTGTTTAATGAGGAAAACAATTATTACGTATTAAAAATTTTGTTTTATAACGAGAATTATCCTGCATATATTAATCATTTAAATAGGATAACATGGACCATACAATTAGTTTGAAAGACGAATTTTTTTTATGTTTGTTATTTATGTTAGAAGACTTAGACGTAGGAGATTTTGTGTCATCTACACTTTTGGCAAATAACGATATTTTTATTTATACTGTTTGTTGCCAATCTATTTAATTATTGTATACGTTTTATTATTTTAAGCAGAACATAATTCTTGTTTTTGTTACGTTATAAACGTAACAAAACGTTACGTTATTTGAATACTGATGTTTATTAATGCCAAAATGCAGTATTATTGCTTAATATAACACACACATATACATACACACACACACACATATATATATATATATATCTGAAATTCGTCCGTGTATAAAGAAAAAGACACTAGTTTTTCAAAGGCGGATCGAACAATTTATCAACGGCGCAAAACAAATTATTCAATAGTGCGACAATAATAAAGAAATTTATTACATGAAGTTTTATTAGGAGATATAGAAAAATATCAAATTTTTTATATAATGCGACACATCAATATTAATAGGTTTATGGGAACATCGATAAAAATACTTTTTCTTAATATAAAGAACAATGTGGTACCTATATCATTATCATGTGATCAAAAATCTGTTCTTACGAGATTTAAGAAATGCCTATGATAGTAGCAACAAAGACTTACGGTATAAAACAAGCAATCTGCCATGGAATATAATATTGTTGCTTGTTTGAGAGAATAAGCTTTGTTTCTATTCATCTTTGTATCAGCGATTAATCATATAAAATTCATAAGGTTTCTCTGAACGTAATCGAATATCCTTTCAGTCGCTAAATTATTTGTAAAATAGATTTGTAAAAGAGTACGAGATACACATTGTGTGTCTAGGACACGCACACACTCTCTCTCTCTCTCTCTCTCTCTCTCTCTCTCTCTCTTTGATTAAAGAATAAAGCTTTTCTACGAGAATATTCATCGTACGCTAGCGAAGAAAGCATTAATTACGGCGAAAATTAAAACCGAAGAATCTTGTCACTATTATTACTTAAAAGAGCAAAAAGATGATAAAGAGTATGTTGAATGTATAATTGCAATAAAATTATAATTATTATCTTTTATGATACACAAGAGGAGTTGGTAGTTTTATTATATACGATTTTATGCAGGCATAATTAAAAAAAAAGTAAATAATTTAAGGAACGACAAAACAAAACAGATATAGTATGTACACTCACGCGTTACTCCGCGTGTTTGCACATTTATCTTCTTCACACTCCGCTACAATTCCAGTCATCTAAAAGTATATAGAATTGATATATTGTAAAACCGATGGCTTGATATCTTTGGTCAAGGGCATGCAAGTAGAAAATAACATGTTTATGACATTGTGTATGTGTGTGTGTGTATGTGTGTGTGTGATTGATGAAATTTATATCTTTTATACCACACCGATCACACGACTTCGATACTTGGTATCACGGAGCAACGTCACAGAGTTCTGAGATAATGACAAATTTTATATCTGTTCTTTGTGCTGCGCATTATGTAATACGGAAACATTTTTGAGAAATAAATATGTTACAAAAATCCTTTTTTGAGGAAAATGTCGTGACGCTTCTACTCTACGTCGACCTCAGTCGGTTATCTGCCAATTAATGCGTTTACGGGTCGTAAAATTAGGCTGCGACAGAATATGACGCGTCTATGAAGAATAAGTGTATTTTTTGTGGCAATTCAACGTGATATACAATCAGTTTCGATCTCTTCAATTCAATGTCATAAACTAGTAACAAGAGAATTTTTAGGCATATAAGATTCCTTAGATATTTCTGAAAAATACTGTGGAATATTTTCAACATATTTTTCAGCATATTTAATTTATATAAAAAATTCTCGTAGTCTCTCCCTGTCCTTCCTTCTCTGGGACAGCAGCTGAGCATTTCGAACATTGATCGTCTTACAAATGAGTTCGTTAATGGTATTTATTGATTTATTTATGGTATCGTGAATACAGTATAAAATTGTATTACAGCGTGATCAATAACGAACGAAAGTTAAATATAACCGGAATATCAAATGCACACTGCATATCAATATCAGGATGTGCAACTAGCCTCGGAGGCGGCTCTCGACAACGATGCATATGAATCCGATATATGGACATTCTGAAAGCAACATACGCGTATATCCAAATAGCTACTACGTGTCTCATCGAACATGGATATTCGAACATGTACAGAATTCAAGTCCGTACGAGTTCAAACCTTCGCTACATACATATTTCGTAATACGAGGTTCAATGTTAGTACATGTGACAGTAAAGTTCCATACGTTACATAAACGTGAATAAAAGTACATTTAAAATTATGGTAATGTAAAAATATTGTTGCATTGCACGCAAGTGAAGAGAGCCCATCTTGGACGATCTACAATTCAGCGGAAATCCTTTTGCAATTATTCAGTATCATCCAATATGTAATGCTTTTACATGCGATTCTAATTTTCGCGAATATATGTCTATAAATTCCGCCTTCTGAGATAGAATTCGGTCGATATGCCGCAACGTTAAAGAATCACGAATTTACCGTTTTCCATATGATCGTAGCTCATTTGAGAATACGCTTGTTGTATCTTACAACGGGTCATGTATCTTGCGTTCTCTTCAAGCGGATTAAAGAAATAATTATAAGGAAACGTCGCATTCCCGAGTCTCAGAGTAATTTACGTCTGTAATTATACGGTAAAGCCCATGGTCGTAGCCCGCGTGAAGCCTAACAAAGTATATAGCACGATGGAATGCAATCACCTTAGTACTGCTAACATTCAAGAATACAAGCCTGTTATATCGTAGCACATAACATCTAGTCCAGGCGGAGTGCGCGTAGTGTCATGTTGTAAGAATACGTAATATTTCCGACGGTACATTCTTCGCATTTTTCGCTTGGTCGAGAAAGTGTACGCGCATATGTGCATGTACATACATACATACATACATACATACATACAATTATACGTATATCGTGTTTTAATGTTGTCTTGTAATCTCCGCGTATGAAGTCGCGATCACGTAAGTAGAAGCATTTTAAATATCCAAAATATCCATAAAACTATACATACAGGCTATATACAGGATATCCCACTTTAAAGGATCTTAGAAACACTGCGTTGAATCGAAAAATGTTCCAGACAAAAATTGTTCAGTTTCAAGGAGGACATAAGACGGCGATAGCATTTTATTTACAAATAGCGCCACTCGAGATATTCACTGATCATTAATTTTCTTAAGTGGAAATCCCAATTTTTTATTATATCATTTTTTTCTACCAATTAATTTGGACAACTTTTGTCTGAGACATTTTTTTATTCGTCCAATAGTTTTTGAGATTTTTGAGTGGATCTTTTAAAATGGGATACCCTGTATATGCTATATATATATATAGCATATATATATATATATATGCTATATCCTATATGTGAAAAGTGTTTTTCTTTTATATATATATATATATAAAATACAATATACTATATATCGATTCTTTCTTGATATAATTACTTTACGTTCGTCTCTATGTGGTTTCGTTGCCGAGACAATTTTAAGAGATTTAAATATCTTCCACGTACGGGGATAAGTATAAGTATATTCTAGCTATACTTGTGGAACTCTGCGGTAGAACTCTTAACTATTTACGATCAGTCAGATTATTACGAATATTTGCTCGATGCCATTGTCCTATTGTCGCGTGTGTATGTACGCAAATGTATACTAACGTAAATACATAAGATAGAAATTACTTAATTACATGAGAAATCACTTAGCTAAATATATATATATTAAAATAAAACATAAAACATAAATTATGTATGAATATATATATATATATGTATATATGTACATACATACATATATACATACACATACATATATACATATATATATATATATATATATACATATATATATATATATATATATAATAAAACAACGTACAAGTTTGTTTCTTGTATAAATGCTACTTATCACATATTAGAAGGCAAATAAGTTAAATTAATTAATTAATTAATTAATATACACACATGCGAATAGTAATCGTAAAATAATCGCGACAAAAAAAATATAAGCGATAAATAAAAGGTTCAAGATCATTATCGTCTCTGGGACACGAATCGCGTTTACGGAAGAGAGGCGGCGCACGAAGGGCTATTGATCGCAATGTATCGTGCGCAAAGTCCGAATATCAACGCGATAGTCAAATCGTTACTATTTAAGTAGATAACACTCGGTATAAAAATACCAAATTTGGCAGCTTCTCAGTCTGAATAAGTTTAAAAATCTCTTCCAAGATTTCTTTCTTAATTGGGTAGATAAATACTGCTCGTGTACATCCGTTCAGTCTGCATTTCTCTTGCGTAGAAAGAGAAAATTGTCTTCTAATTATATAAATTATATATATAAAAAAATATCTGTAAAATATCCCGTGTAAAAAAACCATTTGTAAAAAAATTACGTTAGGGAGAAGGGAAAGTTTTTTTGCTTCCACAAACGCGATGCAACGCATACGTCCCATTAATATTTTCCAAGACCGGAATTGGGCAAATCTTATTATCTCTCAATGTACAACACTCGAAGATGTATTTGCGAATGATGAATAATTTTTTTTTCTCGGAAAGAATTGATCACTTGCGATATAATATTTTTCTCTGCTCGTACATTTGAGGAGAATATGTTCGAGCAGGAATTTATTCGGACAAGTATACTGAATTTCAAATACGATAATACCCAACTCCGTCCGAAAGAGAGAGAAAGAGAGAGAGAGAGAGAGAGAGAGAGAGAGAGAGAGAGATGCATCTCTTTTCAATCTAATAGTATTTCCCGCAGCGTGCAAAAGGAGTATGGTCCATTGTGTCTATTGTTAAGTCAGCTATCTCATTCTCTCATCCGACTAACACACGAGCTGACAGTCTACTACTAACGAGATACATATTCCGAGATACGTTATTGTACGAGCTTACGTCTATGAGCTGGATACGAAGAAGCCTGCGAGGAACGAGGTATTTAAATATTTTACGACAAAGTAGAGTACGCACGTCAGAAAGCTTTCGTTGAATTTTCGGCGTTATCAAGATAAACTGGTCGGAGCTCACCGATCGAGCCCGCAAGATAACAGCCGAAAGAAACACGATTGATTCAGAAATCCCGAGAGATCAATGTCGCTCTATTCCTTTTACCCTATTCGCACCCGTTGCTCGCATGTATATCTTACAATAATATATGTATATATTATACAATTATATATATATATATATATAATTGCATAATGTGTACGCTGTCAACTATCGGTCCGCTTTTCTCCTAAGCTACGCTTCGTTTCCGTATCCTTTTCCTATGCGTAACCGCTTCCGTTTTTACGCGATATATTACAATTTGATTCGCACTTTATACACACATACATAATAATCCACGTGTCTTGTGGTCGGATGCGCGTTTTTATCTCGGATCGCGGAGATACAACGAACAACATTCACTTCTCGCTGCCGAAAAAAGCAGCTTCGTAAAATATCCCGCCTCGGCATCCCTCGAGAACGGATCCACACGTTGCGCATCTCCGTATAGATCCCTCCCCTTCCTTTAATCTCGCTACTTTATATTTTGGCTTTTAGTCGTTTAATTAATTGTCATGATTCGACAGGTACTACTACATACGTCGCACCACAAAGGCATTAATCATTTACTCGTCGATCCGCATATAATATCTCGCAGGACACTCATTATCGATTCTACTTAAATAGTCGAAGTACATACATGTGCCGTGGGAATTCCCGTCTCACGGGGACTCAACGGGCAACGCGCGCTACACCCGGAACGAGACTCTTCGACTGTTGGGTCGCTCTTAACGCGGAATTCTACAAGCAACGAGAGCACGGCAACGAGAGCATCTCCTTAATCTAGCCGGCCGTACCTCGGCACGATGCCCGTTTTTATCCAGTAATCGCAATTGGGATAATCTCTCTCCAGCAAGGTGTCCTGGCCGACCATCAAGACTCGCTTTGCGCCTGACCGGTCGGCTTGCGGCACCTCGCCGTGCCACACGTAATAATTGAACAACTGCTGCATGGCCGATACGTGTCTCTTCTCCTCGGGTGTGACAGCGGCGTAAGTGCCCAAAATGGCCGCGGCATCGCTATCGGGATCGGCCAATTGGCCGCGCGGCTGAGTCGCTACGTAAAACGGTACGTTGTTCTTCATACTGGCGACGGTGAACAGCGGGCACACCACGCGGATGTCGGAGATCATAGTGACTAGTCCCTTCAACGTGGCGTTGTAACGTCTGAAAAAAAATAGTGGTGTTGGAAAACCGACGTTTATAGGGAGTTACGGAGCATTGAATTCCTCCTCCAAGACCTTTGAATCTGCTCCAACAACAATCGGCGGGTAGCCGTAAAGTTAACGTGACATATGGCACAACTCTTAACCGCAATTTTGTCACGTTCCTTTTATGCCTGCTTATCGGTCACTGGAGCGAGAGAAGAGTTTCCGGAATATCTTAAAAAGCTGCTTTAATCGATCGCGCAAGTGGTCGATTCATGGACAAATCTCTTTGCGAGAATATTGAGCGTGTATTTTCTCGCTTCTGGTGTCGTTAATCAAGTGGCAACGCAGAGATAGGAGCTTTGAAGAGTAATACAAACCAAGGAGATAATATATGCGTGTACTTGTGACTGGAAAATTAAATAAATATTAGCACTCACTTGAGAGTTTCAGTAACCATGCCGCTGGTGCCGAGCAGAGATTCCTGTATGATCTTCTCCACTTGTGACGCGTTGAGAGAGACGTTCGGCTGCAGATATTGTAGCGGTGTGCCGGAGTGCGCGGTGGTGCCTATTACCATCTTCGGTAGATTGTTCTCCACCGTCAGGATCTGACCGATGTGCTCCTGGAGGATCACGCCGTCCAGCACGAGCCACTCGTGTCTCTTGTCGTTTACTTCCTTCGTTTCCGGCAGGCCCACGGTCTTCGTGTACCACGTTTCCGGCACGGCGTCTATCACCTGCTCGGCCGTTTTGATTCTTAAACAGGCGGCGTTTGCACATCGGAGCGCCTCGAGGAACGGTTTCGCAAAGATCTCGGATCTGTCCAGCTCCTTGCCCGGGAAGATCGCGCTGCCGCTGGATATCCATATCCTTGAGAAGAGACCCTTGGTGCGACGGGAGCCGACCAGAGTCGTCACGAGAGTGCCGCCTGCTCTGTGTCCCCACAGTGTGACCGACGACTTGTTGCCGCCGAAATTATCAATGTTCAACTGCACCCACTGCAGAGCCGCTATGATGTCCGACAATCCATAATTGCCTGAGGTCGGAGGGTGGCTCGCTTTTGAGATAGGCTCGGCCGCCAAGAATCCGAAAATGCCCAATCTAGCAAGAACAAATTGCATGTTGCAGTGAATCCCCCTTCTCTCTCGATGCGAATGATTACTCGTATCGCGATCTAACTTTTACGCAAGGTTGGGAAGCAACGTGTTACTTGCTAACACCGTTCTTCTCGTTATAAATTATCTTTTGCAGTAACAATCTGCCAGCAGGATCGTTTCCGCTAATGGCAGTAATTGCATATTTTGGATAATGATGATGAACACAATGGTTACTTTTGTCCTTGTCTGTAGAATACATACGCATGAGAAGGATGCTAGAGAATCATGAGAATGATACTAATGAAGAAAATCACAGAAACTGCAGCGACTCGTCGCTTACCGACGTAGCGACGACGTAGCCTTTTGCAAAATGTACGACAGCGACGGCAACGAATGACTTTCAAGAAGCGACTTTCCCAAGCAAGCGCGTGCTCCTACACATATACGGATGCACGCGCACGTAATCGACGTAGCGACGAGCGCTTTGGCCGGCGGAAGAGCTGCGGGCGATTAAAGCGTTAGGTCCAAGTGAGCGTGTCGTACCGGAAGTTGGGCCGCACGAACACGATGTCACGCACGCGCGACAGCTTAGCCGAGGGTTGCATCACTCCGGGGGAGCCGCCGCTCAGGGTCTCCGCGCCGATCATGACGACCACCGGTAACGGGGAGTCGTAGCGGACCGCCGGGGTGAACACGTCGAGATAGAGGCAGTCCTCGGAGCCGACCACGAGGCCGGAGGACTGACGTTGCCAGCACACCTCGGAGGAGCTGTGCGTCAAGCGGGTGCCGTTCCAGCAATGCTCGATGCGGCGCACCGACTCGGCCGTCTGCCAGCGACGGTTGTTGATCGGCGGTAACGCGTACGGGATCCCGCGGAACGCGAACGCACCATCCTCCAGGACACCCTGCACCGGTCCGCACCACGTCACCGTCTCGACATACTTGCCGTTCTTCAGCGGCTGCTGGGGCCGGACCTCCTTCGGCAGGATGCAGACGATGCAGGTGATGATGATGAGCAAGATGATGATCCCTGCAACTGCAACGTTCAGGTGTCATCGTTAGCAATTGTGCAGCGCGTCATCGTACGGTGATCGTTTGAGCAACTGCCAACGCGGTCAGCTCTGACCTAACACAGAAACGCACCGGACAATCGTGAGCCAAGCCTGCTGGTAAAACAAAGATCGCGATGGCTACACCCGGAAGTAAGATTCGCATAAAAAACCAGACCTCGGGGTTACGCAAGTGTTATCGTGCAAATTGCCGTTGAGTCACATTGAATGAACGTCGAATCGAATCGATCGATCGATTTTTGACGAAAAATTCCTAATTACGAGTTCGGTAGAAGATCGACGAGATTGCAACGCGATATGATGTCGCGATATGCTTGTCTTCAAGAAGTTCATCTCTGATGGATGATCCAATAAAGCAAATATACTTTATCATCGCCCCCATTGACCTAAATTCCGAGATTGCTTCCATATCAAGAAGAGAGAGATCAAGGAAACAGTGGCGTCTAAAGTTAGCTGAAGAAAACCACGACAGTTGGCTCGCCCTGGAGTGAAGTTCGTCCTGAATTCGATTCGAATCGCTTCGACTGGTCCGTTTTCCCAGTGCATCGTCGTCCCGGTCTCTCTACTAATCAGTCGCGAGATTACAGCGAGAAGAATAGAAGAAAAAAGAAAACCCAGAAACAGATCGACAGTCGGTCTAGAAAAAAAAAAAAAACCGAGACGTCTGGCGCGGCTGGCCTTCTGTCTCGGTTCGAATTCGTAACTGGAGAACATCAATGCGTCGTCGCGCGTTCCAGTTGTTCCGACGGAGTTGTACCGCTCAACGAATGCGCACATCAAACGTCACGATCAGTGCGACGTTAATACCTAAGTAATGCCGATGTCGCTTGACCGCAGACACGAAGACTACCAAGGGATGCTGCGTGGGAGGCTCGGCGCCGTCGGCCCCTTCTACGTCGAGTCGCACGGTCTCCATGCCATCCTCGCAGGCGATGGGGTTTCTCTCGTTGGCGGCGTCGTCGAGCGTCTCGACACTGGCTAATCCAGCGGCGCCAGTCTGCCCCAGCTCGGAATCGGTTTCCTGAGAAGAGCAGAGGCGGTTATAACTGAGCTGAGAGGAGCGGAGATTAAAGAGACCGCTGGCCGATCATGAGTATCCCGGTACAATTACGACTTTGTCGTGAGTGCCCGTTCCCGTTGCTTGCTTCCTCGTAAATGCAATCCGGATTAAGCGAGCCGCACGCTGGGTTATTTATACCCATATCGGAAGGTACGATGTATTTCGCGACAGAGCCGGAGAGATTAAGCAGCGATTTGGAAATTAAAGCCGATGATACAGATTTATCACACCGTTCGCGCGCGGCGGCGCGGCACGGGGGGGGGAGGAAGCCGCGGAGAGAAACGGGCTCGCGCAGATGTAATTTACATCCGGATGCGAGAGGAGTACCCCGTACGGAGGCATACCATTCTGGTCGCGCTCTACACGTAGCCGTCACACTATCTACCCTTCGACGGAACGCGATCATTATGAGAGTGAGAGAGAGAGAGAGAGAGAGAGAGAGAGAGAGAGAGAGAGAGAGAGAGAGAGAGAGAGTTATTAACAAAAGAAGCTTCATTAATCGAGCGTAATTTTTCGACACAGTGTACATTTAACACCTAAAACTTGCAGGAGGTTACTTTGAAACACAGTATATATAAGCGGAGGAGGGGCTCCGCCCCTCACCCGCACTCCCTCCCCAAGAAAATTCTAACCTGACCCAACTTATTGCATCTTCGTATACTGTTCAACGTGGGTTTCAAAGATTTTAATCTTTTCAACACCTAATAATATATAAAGATGCAATAAGTTCGGTTAGGTTACGATTTTCTTGGGGAGGAAATATGAGAAAGGAACGGAGCCCCTCCCCCGCTTATATGTACTATTTAACATTTTTTTTTAATGTATACTCGAGATTTAACGTACGAGGGTAGTCCCAGAAGTACCTGACCTGACGTATAGATAGCGGTTGTTGTTTGAAAAGAATGACTACGGTAGAAAGTATCAATCTTATAAAGCTTAAGTTTGAAGTTTGACGACGCTACGTTGTTTAGTATTTGTTTGGCAGTCATCAATAGTGAACGCTCTCAGTGAATTTGTAAACATGGAAAAATTGGTCATCGTTATGTGATACAATACTTTCATTTGAAAGGCCTCAGTCCAGCCAATATGAAAGCGGAGCTAGATTCTACTCTGGGGGAGTCTGCTCCTTCTTTTACAACAGTAAAATATTAGGTGGTAGAGTTTAAACGAGGCCAAGACGAGCTGCCAAGACGAACATCGCAGTGGTCGACCAAATGAAGTGACCACGTCAGAAATGGTGAAGAAAATCCACAAAATGGTATTGGATGACCGTCGACTGAAAGTGCGCGAGTTAGCAGACATGGTAGGTATTTCAAAAAGTGCTATATCGTATATTGACTGAAAATTTGGACATGAGAAAGCTGTGCGCAAGATGGGTGCCGCGATTGGAACAAAAACAGCGTCGTGAGGATGTTTCAATCGAGTGTTTGGCGAAGTTTCGCAGCAATAAAGCCGATTCATAAGCATGGATGAAACATGGGTCCATCACTTCACACCTGAGACGAAGGAACAGTCAAAACAATGGACCATTGGAGGTGGCTTGATGGCTATTTTGAGGAGCTCGACGATTCCCACTATAAATAGGGTATAAAAGCTATTGAATATCGCTGAGAAAAGTGTGTTGAGCTAAAAGGAGACTACGTAGAGAAATAAAGATATTTTTTCCCAAATTTTTTGTGTTTTCTTTGTTAGGTCAGGTACTTCTGGGACACTTGATCCCCTTAAGTGGGGACCAAGAGGAAATGGCGCGATTTCGGCGCGCCTTCCCCTGACCGCTGCTATTACAGCGGCCAGGAAAGAGAGGGTGGTACTGGGGTGGTCTGCTGCCAACATTAGGTTGCTGGCGGCTAGGCCACTCCAGTGCCATAAGTGCTGGGAGACCGGCCACACCTGGGAGAGGTGCATCTCTGCGGTGGATCGCAGAGGATTGTGCTTCAGGTGTGGGCGGGAAGGGCACATTGCACAGAGGTGCGAAGCACCGGTAAGGTGCATTATGTGCCAAGAGAAGGGTTGGAATGCCAGTCACAGAATGGTTGGACCATTTTGTGGACTGACAATCCAGACTAGTGGGGGCGATAACAGACGCTTTATGCGTCGTTGCGATGCCCCCCCCCCAACGTGGGAATGCGTAGGGGTGGCATTGCCCCCCTTGATTCTCCTTCCTTATCCTCGCACCGGGCGGGGAAGGGAGGGTGACACGGGAAGGACAGCTGCCTGACCCTGGAATAGACCAGGAACAGACAGCTGGAAATCGGGTCGGTGAAGTAAGAGGAGAGGATATACCTCTCCCTCAACGAATCCCTGTGTCCGACTAGTCGGGCACGAAGGGAAAGGGGCCGAACAACCGCCCACTTCACCGGCCCGATACCACCCCCGCAGGGGGAGTGGGACAAAACCCAGGTGGGAGAGAGGGGAAACTCGGACATCAATTAAAGATGTCGGGCCCCCCCTCTTCCGCCCACCCGAGGAGAAGGGTATCCTTTTAGGACCCTCATAACTCCTCGGGCGAGTGGCCCTGGCGGTTGGGGAATGACATCCCCCCCGTAACCGCCAGGGAGGAGGGTGGGGTCCAGGGCGGGGAACCTGGGCCCCAACCAGCCCTCCAAAGGCTGGGGCGGCTAGGTGGTGGTGGCACACCTAGCCGCCAAACATCACAGGACGACGTCCCGTCCACTGGGAACGGTGGTTGAAACGGGCCTTCAGTGACCAGCGGTGCCCAGCCACTTGCGGCGGGCACCGTGTGCTTCCCCCTTCCCAGCTGGACGGGACGAGGGGGTGGGTAAGGAGAGCGGCGGTTGCAGAGGACCCTGGGCTTGCGAGCGCCGGGGTCGCTTCCCCCCTCTTCCCCCACCCTCCAGGGTCATTGGGGTGAATGCCTGGATCCAGGGGGCCGATTAGCAGTCAAGGTGGCCCCGACCCCCTGATTATGGTCCCTTCGTAGTGCTACCCGGGGTGGGTTTAGCCGGTAGGAGTCCGGCATATCCTCTCTCACCCTTCCCCGGGGGTGAGGGGGATCCATGATGGATTCCCACCTCGTAAAAAAAAAAAAATAAAAAAAAAGGTACTTCTGGGACTACTCTCGCATATTCGAGGTATATTATCCAACCACGGATTATTTTACAATAATAAAATATGTACACATTGTTCGAAAATCACATACATTCTATTCCACTTCTTTTATTAATAACTTTTTAATGAACAATGGCTGCAATTTTTTGCATAACACTCAGAAACATGTCCTTAACAACATATATCCTGGTCATGAACTTTTGAGGAGGTTGACTTTATGTGCATATTTACCATTTTTTCAAATTAACCGGTAAGAAAATAAAGTACAGTAAGAATAAATAATAATCCTCTTAAGAAAAGACTAAATAATCTGCATATAAGAGGAAATTTATATATTAAAATCAATAAGATTTGTATTATACATATAACATATAATTCTTTTAACTTTAATAATGTGTTTATAATATTTTTCTCTTAATTTTAGAGGAATCCTCTTGAGGCCATATATAAGAGTAAAATCCTCTAAAATTTTGATGATACCGCTTGTTCTGAAATTACTTTCTTTTGGATGTACCCTCGATAATCGCGCCAACGTTTTACGTCGCGCGGCCGCTGCTCCGCGTCGTGAGCTCGCGGAAACGTTTCATCGGGCTCTCCTTCGTCGCACTTCTTTCGTCACGCCGAGGAAAACGCGCTCGGTATTTGCGACTGTAATTGCGCCGCGAGGTAATTGCAGCGAGCGTCGCTACCACGGCTGCGATATCGGCGATACTCAGTGCACATATCGCCGTTATTGCTTTCTCGTTGGAGCAACAAAAGCGCACGACTCGCGCACTGGAAATGACTATAATTTCCAGAAAGCGAGATTAACAATCTAACTTTTTTACTCCCTCCAAACGTGACGCGCGAAGAGCCGCGCGAGAGAACTGAATCTCGTCGCAAACGAGACGTTCAGCGCGATAATGGAGCGATTCACAGAAAACGACAGAATGGAGCTTGCTTATAAAAAAGTCACGGCTCATCTTTCGCTTTTTATAGCTCGGCCCGCTATCTCTCGTCGACCCGTAGCGCCTCGTCGTGACGTGCACGGGGGAGAGAACATACACGCGCCGGGCGAACGCGTTATATCTCGCACTTTGAACAGGATCGGTAGAGAAGGGCAGAGAGGGAGAGATGAAAAAGAAAAAAAAGTGAGAGAGAGAGAGAGAGAGAGAGACGAGAAACGTGCGGCGGAGGACGATGAACGGCCGCGGACGGGTGTGGAAGCTCCGCGCGCGAGCCCGAAATTTCAAGAGCTGCGCAAACTTTCGTCCGAGCGCGCGAAGCGACTCGCACGATATTCTCGATATCCTCGATATTCTCGATATCCGATTCCAGGAGAGATTTTCTGTCGCGTGGCGCGCGAAGAGCCACGCAATTTAAAAATACATACGACTGCCTCTACGCCGTCGTTATTCCGTCCGCTCGCTCGGGGCACCGCAAAAACGGTGAAATCGTCCGGACGGAACGGTCTATATCCTCGCAGTTTAGATAAATTAAAGCCGAGTGCGAGAGAGGATTTCTCCCGGAATACGAGAGCGCGGTCCTCTTTGGCCGCCGCAATCGCGCGTTTTTTGCTAGCCGCCACTGAGAAACGCTCGGCGCGCGCCGCGTGCTTCGACTCCGAATATCACTTTCGCGCGCGAACGTGTCGATAAAGAAAGCTGTCATCGTCCTTCGGAGGTTCTCCTAACGTTATCTCGCGGTCGAGCAAGGCGCTTGTTAGGAGGAAGGGACACACCCTTTGACAGTTACCTTTCTCTTCCTGGAGAACACGGACGACACCAAGGGTATGCGTATAGCATTGAGGATACCCTTCCTCCCCTCCTTCTCCTTAGAGTCCTTCGCGGGAGTGGTGAGCTTCTCCGCGGATGGAGCATTGTCCTGCTCCTTCTCCTTTGTCATCACGGGGGCTGATTCCATGTCGGTGGGCTCTGCCGGCTTCGTCTCGTCATCCTGGAAAAACGATCGAATTGATGCCACACGTTTTCGCACGGAAAGAGAAAGAAAGGTCATCCTTGACCAACATGTAATATGTCATAAAGAAAGTGATTTTTCGGATTTGTTAAATCACTTGTCGCGAGTTGCAACCGGTGTTCTTTGTTTTTTTTTTCTTTTTTTTCAATGGAGTCTTCGAACGGAATTTTCAGTGGCGGAAATTACAGCCCAGTACGTCCGGAAAGTGCTCGCTGTTACTTTCAGGGTCAACGATATACACATACATCTGTTTGTAATTAATAATAAGCCCCTTCATGTCTCGACATTCACTCGCAGTTGAGGAAATGCGGCCAAGTGTAATTATATACAAGCTCAGTCGGCTCAGTGTGAATTACCAACGTCGACACGAAGGATCGACAGAAGAAGCGACATCCCGTGGAAATCGCGACCGCTCGATATTTCTGCGCGGCGCTGTTCCGTCGCGAGTTTCAAAGTCAGGGCTGCGAGTCAAGGTGGTCGTTCGCGTTCCACCAGTGACGACCAGGAGCGCACGTGGTGAAATCAAGGTCAAGCTCGGGACAAAGAGACGACGGGGACCGGATGACGGCGCGTGTCGTTGCCAGACGTGCGTACGACGTATACGTGCGTTCGCCTTCGAATCTCTTCTCGCTCGCTCGCTCAACCTCGGGCTCTCTTTCTCTCTCTCTCCCTCTCAGACGACAGATTATTATTTTTAGAGTAGCGCCACTCCTGCGCGCCTCGAAGCCTTGGACTTGAACGCGACTCGAGGACGATAACTCACGCTGTTGAGCTCTTCGAGCCGCCAGCTGCGCTCCGAAAAGTCATCGCACCGCGTGATCTCTTATCGTGGAGACGCGCGGATGAGAAACCGGGTCCACATGTCCGTCAGGATAGCCTCCATGTGTGAATAAGACGAAAAAAAGGAGTGTTCGGAACAACTGGAGAAATCGAGTCGAGCGGACTCGCTTTCAGGGTTGAAGTGTAGCGATTCAGCCCCGTCAATCTTCTCGAGAAGAATCTTTGACGTTCCTTTAGTTTCTCCTGCCTGTATGAAACGAACGCCGACGAAGGTCGATCAGGTGATTTAATAAAGCTGACCCGACGCTTTGTCCGATTTATTTAACTTCCCAATCGGAAGTGGGATTATTCTGCAGTGAACACTTTTGTAGTCGGAAAATCGTTTATATTTATATCACACGTACACTTATATGTTTTAGTTAGACGTCAGCCTTTGATCGAATTTGGTGGTTTAGGTTCTTCCACCTCAGATAGCGTCGAGTTTCATATCGCTTGGCTGCAGTTTGCGCAAGCAAATTTACACAGGGTGTGTAAAAAGTACCGGGATAGCGAAATATCTCGAAAATTGAGCATTTTAGAAAAAAATGTTTCAGACAAAAGTTGTACAGTTTCAAGAGAGACATAAAACAACTGTATTTTGGTTACAGATGGCGCCCACTTTCGAGGTATTCACTGATTGTTACTTTTCTAAAGGGAAACCCCTATTTTTTATTGCACCATCTTCTCCTATCAATTAATTTTAACAACTTTTGTCTGAACATCTTTTTTCTAAAATGCTTACTTCTCGAGATATTTCGACGTCCCGGTACTTTTTATACACCCTGTATTACCCTGAAACTCGGCTCTTCATACTCGAATTTCGGATACGAGACTGGCGCCTGAGAAACGGCGGAGTTTTGACTGCGGAAGACGAACAAGCGTGAGTTGGCTGGAAAATCCGCGCTTCGGCAAGATCTCGAGGAAAGAAAAACGTCTCGTTTGTTACCCCGACAGATTTTACGCGGAGGAATAAAATCGATAACGATGAATTATTTTATTATTTGCCGCGATATTTCCCCGTCGAACCGATTCCTCGTTATCGATATCGGAAGCCGAATTGCACGTTGCTTCTCCCTCTTTGTTCATGAATTACTCACGAGGATAAAATGCGACGGCGGCGGCGGCGGCAGACGACATCGAAAAGAGGAGCGTCTCTCTGCGCCCTTCACATAGTTTACGTAAAATTAATGGTTAAAGCCGCCATTGCAAACGTCGCACGGGGGCAATATGCAAGGGGTGGTACACAAATTATACAACTCGTAATTTTGTAGCGGCGTACACGAGCTTGAAAACGAAGTCCATCGCGTGTACAGATTACTCGGAGCGGCTTGAAGAGATACTCGAAGCCACCCTTCTATTAATTCCGACGAGTTCCGCGAATATTAGAGATACGAGCTAATAGCTTGGTGATTACCAGCGCCATTAGGATCTGAAGCTTTTGTACCAGCTGGATCGAGCCAGGCATATTGCTCTCGTGTCGTTTTATCTTACAGCGGCAATTGACGCACGGCACATAACCAGCGGCGATTAACTTCAACACTCGTAATCCTCCATGCCTCGTCGATCGATTAATCAACTTTGCCGTGCTATTACAGCTTTGCGATCCTTCGTTGGCTCGGTCAATTCGTCGTGTCGATTGATTGAAAACACGCGTGATGTCAGGCAGTACTTATACATTTTTACACGCCGAATAACTAACATGAAGGACATTGCATCATTTAGCGGAATCAGCGAGGAGCTTCTTTATACGAAAAAGCTGCGAAGAAGATTCGTCGAACAACTCGAACCGAGTTGAAGGAGTTCAGCCAAAAAAATAATAATTTCAGAACAAGCGGAATCATCTAAATTTTAGAGAATTTTATTCTTTTATATATGGCCTCAAGAGAGTTCCTCTGAGATTAAGAGGAAAATATTACAAACATATTATTCTTAAAGTTAGAGGAATTATATGTTGTATGTATAATGCAAATCTTATTGATTTTAATATATAAATTTCTTCTTATACACAGATTATTCAATCTTTTCTTAAGAGGATTATTATTTATTCTTACTGGTTATACTAGTTAGTTTGAAAAAATTATTATAAAGTATATAGCGAAAAGTAATATATATGTAAATGTATTTTTGGCTCTAATTCTACAATAAATAGGCACGAATGAAACAAGATCATCATAACAAATAAATTTCCAATCAGTTTTGTTATGGACTTCTTAGCTATACAGATGTTCATCATAACCATAATTGTATGAAACATAGTTAAAAGAAAGAATATATTATTCAACTTTTTGCAATAAATTATAAACTATATTTGACCAAATGTGCGTAAATTATCTTCGTTATATATTACAGCAACTTACACACCTTTTTTAAAAAGCGTTCCAAATATTTTGACTCATGAGCATATGGTTATTTTTTCGTTCATGTCTGGAGGTAGAGCATGACCGACCAAAAGAAGCCGACATTCAAATCAATCGTATTCCTCTTCTCATAAGAGAAAGGTTAATCAATATAAGAGGAAATCTTCTTGAAATAAGAGGAAAACGGTTGGAATAATGTCTAGTACATTTTAGATGAATGCTTCACTTTAATCGCTTTATCAAAAGAGGAGTCCTCTTTCTGTAAAAGGCTTCGCTTAGAATATGAGACTATGGAAAAGATCACTTGAACACGAATAAGAATACCTTCCTTTGGTTATACATTTTCAGAATACCCTGATTCTCTCGGCAGCACTTTGGTGTGTGCGCTCTTTTCATCCTTTGTTATTTATTTGTGAGATTTTGTTCGGCGACGTGGTTATAAAGCCGATTAAATGTTGCGGTTTAATCTCCCACGTCAGATCGATCGATCGTCGACTCGCTCTTTCTACCGCTCGACTCGATCGCAATTTGATCGAATCGACGCGCGTTTTATTGCCCGCTGGCAATTAAGCCGGATGGGCTCGCGTCTTTGTTCCTGTTTCGCTTTTACCGATCCCTTAATTCAGCGCATCGGCCGATTATCCGAGGCATTAGTCTCGCGCTCTTGTTGCGCTGTTGCCTGTCGTGATGCACATTTGTCGCGCGCGTGCATTTCACGTGTGCACGCGTTGAGAACGTATATATGTGTACGTGTGCTGCTATATTTGGAGCTCGACGCGCTCGCGCTCTCTCTCTCTCTCTCTCTCTCTCTCTCGCTCGCTCGCTCGCTCTCAAGTGGAGTCGCGTGGCGCGGCCTTTCGCCGCTGCACGAGTATTCGAGTACGCACGCACGTGTAGCACGAGTACTCGTACGACGTCGGTGGCCCTTCGAGCTGTCACTCCAAACACGGCGTTATTAATAAACGTTGTATCTGCCGTGATAGTTCCATTAGTGGCCGTTACGCAGGCTGTAGACAATTCGTCCGTCGCATTTCTAATAATGTTCCAGCCTCTAATGATAGTCTCTCTTCCGGTCTTTCCAGTCACGTGTTTGATTTCTCGATAATTGCGCTGAGCAATGAGACTTTGGAACGTGTGTTCCTTTGCAGAAGCGCAAAGTCCGTTTTAACGAATGGAATATAAGCAATTTATACCGAGATTCACGTTGAACTCATTGACATTAATTTCTCGTCCTTATATATAATTCAATTTTTGGAATAACTGCTTTAACTGTTTTCAATTATCTATCTTTGGATTTTTATTCTTTGAGCAATATCGACTACCTGTGAAAATTAATCTTTCAAGACTCGTATCCTTTCTTCGAAGTCTTCCAAGGAACAAAGAGAACATTAACCTCTTTTTCTTTCTACGATAAATTAATTTTTTAATTTATTTCATACGCGGTAGGGTGGCGAAAATCGGGAAACTTAAAGATAAATGAAAGCGTATGGGAGTATCTTTAAAGAACAACTGCATATTCGGGAAAGGTGTCACGCAGACTCCGTTAGATAACTCGTAATCGAGGACTGGACTCGATGGTAGAACCGCAGATGTTTCCTTCCTTTATCAGAGGATACACAGCAACGCTCGACCGCCTCCAGATTCGAATATATGCACGTTCGCCCCGGCCGTCGTCCGGGATGGATCGGCGTTCCGCACCCAAATTTCTATAAATAAATTTCACGCAACGGGTATCGCGCGCGGTAGCACCCCGTGACCGCGTCTCCAGGTCGCAGGATGCGTTTAACAAGCGATCGTTGCAGT